TTTTTTTTAATCTGAAAGAATTTTAAATCAATATTACATTAAATCTATATTTTAATTTATAGCTTACTTTTATTTTTCAATATTTAGTCTTCTCAACCAGGAACTCGGCATAACTTTTTCCCAATTGTGTCTTTATCTTTACGTAAATATCTTATGCTGAATTAAATTAGTACACATCACTAATTTTGTTACTTGAATCTTTTCATGGCATTTTGTTGATGTTTAGAATCAGCTTATTAAGAATGGCTGGTACTAATGTATATTGAGCTAATGTTTTTAATGAATTGTTGATTTTGTGTGTGTGTGTGGCTGTTTTTGTTCTGCCTTGCTACTAAACTTAATTTTTAGCTCTAGAAATTCTTTTTTTTAAAAAAATTATTTTCTATGTGTATATCATCATCTGCTAAAAAAACCCAAAAAACAAAAAAACAATAAAGTTGGCACTTTTCCACCTCCTGTGATTATTTCTCTTATTTTTCCCTCCCTGATAACTGGTATAAGCATTTCTCCTGCTGGATTATGTAAGAGTAGTATCTAGGGTATCCTTATCCTGTTGCTTTTTCAAGAGAGTGCAGATATTGATTTTTGATTTTTAGTGCAGAGTATATTATATTTTAAAAGGTCCTTTTATAGATTTAAATTTAAAAAAAAAAGTCTGGAATGGTCATGGTTTTATTCAGTGTAAATTTTCACAGTTTCTTCCCTCGTGTTGGGTCTTTCTGTTCACCCATGTGCTTGTCTGGAAGAAATCCCCTCTCTGCTCCTCAGTTGTGTGAGTCAGGTCATCTATTCAGACAGAACCTAAGTCTGCTCTAAGCCAGGGCCTGGGAGGCTGCTCGATGGATAATGTGCAGGAAGCCTTGTCCTTAGACTTCTCACATGCATTTTGGCTCCATGAGACAGTTTTTCATATTTCCTGACCCTTGTTGAAATTTGAGATTGTTATAAATGACAGAGAGGTGATTTTCAGATAAATGTGGTCCCTATTGCATTAGGCAAAGCTCCTGACGGTGTTTGGTAAATGGATAAGAATAAATGATAGGCCTTAACTGCAGAGTCCTGAGGGAGCTGTTACTCCTCCACATTTCTGTTGTTTATAATGACAATAAACACCTCATCCCGTCACTATTTGACCTTCCTCAGAAAGAACCACTGACTGTTAGAGGGAAAAAAATCATTTGCCACAGACAAGTGAAAAATAGCTTGTGACTCACTTTGTGGCTTTGAGAGAGAGAAAATACTACTTTCAATTTACCTGCTTATAGATATATATAGAACATATGTATTTTTAGAGATTAATATAGAGGGAGTCCTTGCTATCGGGGATTTTATACTGGAATCCTCATAGTTTCCAAGTTTAAAGGAAGCAGAATTCATCATAAATCAAAAAAGAAAAAATATCACTGACAAAGCAATGCACCTATAAAGTTAGCTATCATCAAACATCCAACCAAACAAATCCTCATTCCTGTTCACTGTTCATGTTCTTCTTCTCCTGTACCTCTGCTCAAGCAGTGCCTCCTGTCTGGGATGCCTGTCAGTCTGTTT